CCTTCTTTGATAATCTTATATATTTACTGATCTCAAAGGGCACCTGCTGTACATTTGAGAAGGATAATAATATCTAAATCATCTTAATAGACACTTTAACCCTTCTCAGTCGTTTGTCTACTTCTGTAGAGTCCCACCCTCTTGATTGGCTTAATTACCCATCTCAGCCACCTAACCACATTTTCCAAAAGTCATTTGCCTAAATGCTCTCCAAAGACGACGCAGTAATCTGTTTTTTCAGGTTTGTCGTGTGTCGCCCTTATCGATTCTCAATAATGACTCGTCGAAGTCGACAGCACGATCCTATTGCTTGCTCTCATGCTTACTACTTATCTTACAACTCCTACATTGACAAGGAGTAAACGAAACTATTTGAGTCGGAATCTCTCTTACTAGGGATCTGCATAGGTCCCATACTATCATGTCAATCATTTGCTTAGGGCTGTATTAGGTTTGACCCAATGACATCCTCCCGTCCAACTGATTATGTGAAACTTATTCCCGCTTGTCCCATTGACCACCCTCCCAAAGTCGTCTTACATCGTCACTTTGGCATTGTCTCATAGTAACTTTATATAATGCTCAGTTCAGGCTGTTTTTGACGGCTATTGGTATCTACACCCCACATCACATCATACCAGCACCTTCGATTAGCTTCCACCACCTCAGGAGCCATGGTTACTCCCTAGCTCACCCTATCATCATACATGATTTCCCTAGACGCTTCCTCCTCTCTAATGCTCTTTATTGATTGCGATATATCCATTTGAGCTTGTAGACACCCATATCAATAAGCGTTAGTTGTTGACATATTGTGCTTTTATATCAGATAATAAAGTTTATTATCCACGTTTGAGGCTGTTCGATCTAGCGTGGTAGAAGGAGCTAAAGTCTTGTATTGCAAGAATTACAAGCGAATGCAAACTCCCGCCGTACATTCCTGTTTATGGGCAAGAATGTGATAATAGTTTAGTGCGGTCCTTATGAAAATCATTGTCCAAAAACATGGCAGGAGTAATAGAACACTGCTACATCATGTCGTAATAATCTCGATCGTTAAAAGAAAAACACTTACTTTTTCCATAAGTACACTGGTTTTCCCAGGCATAGGGATACTTTCCAATCTGACGGTAGTATTGTTGGTTGATTATTTCTTTTCCCGATGAATTTCCACGCGCATACTTTATTCGTTGAGTCTCCACCTTTGCCATGAATGAAGTTTCTCCGATTGTAAAGAGAGCGTAAGTCCGTCCAGATTTCATTTATGACCTGTTAGACTCCGTTCATCATAACCGCTTTGGGGAACATTGGCGACCACTTCCGGTCTCACCACCGAGAAACGTTGAGAACAGTCATTGTACCTCGGCATTTATTCCATTTGACGATTGGAACGAAACCAAATTGAACAGAATAAAAGAGCATCAGCGAATTCAGGGTATACTCTACTTTTGGCCTCGGGGGTGGTGTGAACTCTGATCAGTGTGTGTGATTGTGTTTGAATGAGGTCCGCTGTGGCGGTATCATAAATACGTGTTTTGTCCTTTCATAAGACTTCCAAACAAGCGCTCATTGGGGGTGAGGTGAAATTATACGGAACTTACAAACCGTGGCTTCCTTGCGTAAACTGACCACGGGCAACACATCACAGGCACACGTGAGCTAAACCATCGATTAGGCGTCTGCGTGTGTCAGTTGAGGACGCTTATGGAGTATCTTTGTCAACGTATAATAATCATGATGTTGGGGAACCCATCTATGTATCCAAATTTTGCTCGCCCACTCTCGACACATTCTGTGTGTGTTAGTCTCTATCCACGTCGCACTCTCCTTTAGTGAAGAAAATCTGGCAGTAGAAGTCTCGAAATCTGTTTATCCTCGATTCGTATTAAGCCACAGAATGGTTTTTCCCGTCGAAATTCTTGTATTGTTTAACGCGTTTGTAGACGTCTTGGAAGTCGTGGACTGGAGAGTTTGCAGAAGACACACCACATATGTGGATTCCATACAGTCCAACCTCCGAGTAACGTATAAGGTGAGTCAGCAGCGAGCATGTGGGTCTCTTTTCTGGCTGCGAGATGTTTTGTGAAGCCAGGACCTAACGACGCGAAGTGGGGGCTGGCTGTGTGGTCTCTCAAACGATGTTTTCAAATCTCCTTCTGAGGCCATCATCTGACAAAACTGGAAATCAACCCAACAGTGGTAGAGTGCTGTTAAAAACTTTTTTGCGTCAGCGGGGATTCGAACCCAGCCTCTCACTCTTTCCGGGAGCGTATGCTAGTCCGTTGCACCACCAACGCTTGTTTGCACATCATCTTTATACGCTACAACGCGTTATCTGTAAACAGCCAACCGTCACAGCCAGTTGGAAAATCACACACATCTTTTCGTCACGCTATATTTCACAAGGTCACATAGGTTCAGCAGTCAAGATTTCTTATCTTAAGACTGCTCCTTTCGCAGTGTGTATGTTTCAAATATAGGCAGGCGAATTAAGTGGTGAGCAAAAACGCGGACAGGAGCTGAACTCGCGTTTTAGCCAAACCGGGGACCCTTGCCGACTATACACCACCGAAGCCACCGTTTACCCGCCAATCATTCTTCAATATCTCACTATCATAGCTACCAGCCACCAACCGCTAATAGATTCGGTCCAAGTTAAGAATAGTGTTTATTTTCTTTGATCATTTGACTGATAACGTGATAACTTCGGAAAGAATGACTATAAATATTGGAACCTATGTGGGAGTTCAATCATTTTCTACTTATGCATGCACATCGATCAGTCACATTGCCACCGTTCTTTGCATGAAATCCAGTGAAGAACTGTGAGTTTCTTCCATTGAATATGTGCACTTACATTTCATCTTTTTATCTTTACAGTAAATGTTTCCAATTTTTCTGAAGATTCTCCGCCGATTAGCAAGGAACGACGACAACGAAGCCGCAAGTGTAAAACAGGTGACTGTGTCATCATTCCGGACGAAAGTGATGTACTATTGAGACTTCAGCAGCACACTGATCTAATATGATAAAACGTAGCTTTGTTCAACATGTCATATTCAGTTGTTATGGTGTTTGTACTACTTGTTAATCAATATCAGGAGTGTGGTAGTCATATAAGCAAGCTTTTTAAAAACAGGTAATTTCCATGTAATACTGCCATCAACCGATGAATAAAAAGGCGAGGGATGACTCTGGTAACACTAGTCATTGTAGAGTCCGTGATAATATATGGCGACGAATTTTTTTGCTACCTTAATTAGCGCACGTACTGTCGCATGGTCTTTCACTTCCCTCAAATTCACCTTAGCTGCGACTATTCTTGTCAAATATTGTTACCACGTTATAATAGCTTATGTAGCCTTGCAACAAATTGCTTCTTCAGTCACTATCACTACGGTTCTTTTTCGCCTCAATGCGAATAATATTAAGCGCATTTTTATTATGCAAAATAACTTCAGGTATTCGCTGACACAGAAATTACTGCACAACTCCCATCAACTGTACGTTCTGTTCGTTTGAAAAATTTTGAAAAATTTCATGACATGTAGGCCGATATTATCACGCTCGCACTGCATTTTGAAATAGCATCGTTTTTGGATTATATATCCGATGTAATTGAGTGGTATGCAAACTTCGAATCCCGAGAGGGAAGTTGCCAGCATCTCACTCCTTCTGTACAGCTTGCTAGCGCCTGCACCTCCGGAGCTCCTGGTTTACTACCAGCTTTCTATGTCACAAAGGATTGATCTTATCATCAACCAACCGTCAACCTGTTGTACTGGTAAGTCCATATCGCATTTGATCCAACCTGATATCATATACTTGATTGATACGTGACCTCAATCTCAACCCCTGGGAGAAACTGTTGACGGTTGGTTGCTGAGAGAATGGATAACTTGTATCGCAGAGTGATAACAGAACAGAAATCCAGGTAGTGCAGTGATTAGCACGTGCACCGGAAAAAGCGAGACGCGAGTTCAACTCTCGTCTGATGTTCAACTTTTGCATGTAACTTAACATTTCAATATATAATTACAACATCATATCGCTGTTAAAAAAGGTATAAAGATTTTTTTTCAATATTTCAAATTCCAACTTTGCAGAGTGTTGCTGAAGAAAATTGTTCAAATAGAAAGAAATCTGCCGAACTCGTCAATGACAATGGCAATGCAGTAATCGTCAACGCCTACCATTCTGGATAACCGCAGAGACCCCTACTAATTGACTGGGTTTGTTTTCCACATCCATCACATAGCTCAGCATTAATGAAAAATGCTCTAAGTTGAAACTTTTGCTTTTACCAAAATTTGCTTTATGAAATCTTGATTTGCTCCCTCCAATATATAATAATAAAACTGTAGCCTAATGGGAAAGAAGGAAAGAATAGTGGTTTATACGCCCTTCAAATGGGAGTGCTCTTTCGTTTGATTGGAGCCCGAAGATGAAAAAGGAATTACAGACCAGATAGGGAGTTTCTAGCGCACTATAGCGCCCATATAGTCGGAGACGAGTTGACACTTTGTATACGACCAGCCCACGGCGTTAGCCTCGCTTCGCCGTCGCGCGCGGAGATGAGCAGTTCGTAGTATCAAGTGGTAGTGATGCCGTCCATCGAAAGGTATCTGGTTTGATCTCTTTCCATAATGCTTTGTAGGAGGTTCTCCGATATATTTATTTTTGGGGGCCGGATTAGCTTTGGAATGTTAGACAGTTTGAGGCGTTTTTATTTGCTGTAATAGTTGCGTTATGAAAGAACTCCAATTTTGATAGACACCAAAAATAACATTATAAAGTGCTGTAAAGCGACGTAGCGGGGGATCAAACCAGCAGTCTTTTCCCGACAGCCAGCATCATTAATTACTCGACATTACTATCTGCTCGTCGCTCGCGGCGGAGTGGCATTATCGCCGTGGGCCTGTCGTCCTCAAAGTGCTAACACCAGCAATTCACACTCAACTTTAGGAAGACAGCGACACCGATGATGAGTCTACCCTTAAATGCTGACATTGTGCTAGATGTGCATAAAGGAAATATTGAATTGGATGCAATGCCAGCGATTGCGTTAGTTTCTCGTCCAGAACATCTTTCGAAAATCTTATCAAAATATCAAATAAATGTCGGTTTAAGGGTAACTCTGATCCCCTCAACGACCAGCATAAACTTCAAGAAAAGGACAAACTTTTCTTAACCAAAGCGATTCTATTTGGGAACTCTGTTCGCAGTAGGGATCAACTTAAGCGGTAAGTCAAATTTCGTTGCTACAGAAATAGTACCATACATCAGGGCACAAGCAAAATCCGCTGATGTCACGTTGTTGTTTTGCACTAGTCCTTGAATGACGCTAAATTTGGACCTTTAAGATTTTCTGGAGATTGTTTTTTGCTCAAACATATTCCAGGTATTATAATATGATGAATGAGCATGGCCTTACAAACAACTGTTTTGCTCCGAGCTTTTTAGTTGCTTCCAAAATTTCCAAATACTTGCCCAAGAACTGTTTTCCAAAAATTTTTTTTCAAAAGTAGACACTGCAGAAAGCTGCTTATTCTACGCCAATTTAACTTTCGAAATGTTTAAAAATCTTTGAATTTCGAATTTCAATATAGTGCAGAAAAGTACAGAGGGAACAACTTGCTCTGCTGCTGTTCTCTTATCAGTACATATATATTGGATTAGCTTCTTTTTTCTTCGGCATTCCCATAATTATTAACTCATGAAACCGTGATACGATGGAGATTATGCGAATGTGTTTGATACATCTCAGTGAGATTAACACTCAGGGACAAATAAAGTTTATGGATCTTATCTTCTTTCCGGTGATCTATTTCAGTAGACAGACGACTATTGCTGTAATTTGCTTATAATTGATCGGTAGCTGAAACTAGTTCATTTCCGTTATTCGGGAACAAGTGAATTCCGATCTCATTTGCCGGACAAGAAGTTTTCATAGAATTATTAGAATTATTTGAAAGCTGAAATCTCTAACTATAGCTACACATGAGCGTTTTTTTATAAAGATCCTTTTTCAATCCTAAAGCATTCAAAATAAAATCATGTTTCACACCGCGCGCGCTTTCGTTTTTTCATGTGTATAATCCGCGGGAAGCAGAAAAATCATATGAACATGTGGAGAAAATCTCGTAAAATCCGAGTCAATAGTTCAATATAGAGTTATTTTTGAAGAGAATAAAATTCTTAATTGAAAACGAATTATCCCATATTTCCAACGCATCATGGCATCAACCGGCCGAACCACCTCCTAACCGGTGAGTTGACCGGTAAACAAGCTCGCTGAACACGTGAAATTCGATTTTATTTTTTCCTGCTATACTGCAGTGAAACGGTCTTTCCAGAAAATAGCAAAGCGTTGGAATCACTGGAAGTTACGCTATCGAATGTTAACTAATAGTCTAAAGAAAGAGCTCTGTCCGGCGATTTATAATCTCCTATCAAAACTTCTTGTCCAGCGAATGAGATCGGTTCTTCATTTGTTCGCGGGAAAACGAAAAAACACCCCTTGAAGTTATGCATTTATTACGGCAGACGTTCGTCAGTGGGAATATCTCTTTCTATAAATTCACTATTTGATTGTTTACAAGAAGTCTTGTTCCGGACGTGAATCTTTCGTAGATGAGAGAATATTGCTGTCAACACTTTGGGTACTACAGCGCCACCGTGCTAGCTCCGCGCCGTCGCGCGCGTAGTGAGCAGTCCACTGTACGGAGTGATTAGCGATTCAAACCATCGGGCAGACCGTTGCTGGTTCGATCCTCTCCCACGATGTGTTCCCGACAGACTCTTTTGCTTCCAATTCATTATGCACCATATCATTACCATACCACATCTCATACCGTGATACCGTTTCACCAGCGACTTATAAAATTTATTTAACAACCTGTTTGTATCAAAAAGTAGTGAATTGTCTACCAACTGAGGCGTTTTTTTTTTTCATAATAATTACGTACATTGATGAACCCGAAACTGGCCAACACCAAAAAGTCTTCTGTGACGTATCGTGGCAGGAGGATTGAACCAGCAACCTTTTCGCGATGGTCTGCATCGCTGGGTACTCGGCAGAATGGACTGCTTGTCGTTGCCTTGCGCACTGCGGGACGGGGCTAACGCTAATACCGTCGTAGTACCCAAAGTGTTAGGGAAAGTGGGCAGGCAAAAAGTGTACAACGCAGAACCGCTTCTGATTGACACTCAAGTCGACCGTTCTGGCGAATTTTTTGCTACGATAATACGTTATCTCTCTGAAAAGACTTGTTCTAAGTGATTAAGCTGCAAAGTG